GAGAACGTCAAGTTCATAATCGGGAACACTGCCCTGGCGTGGGGGGCGGGCCCCGGGACGGAGGGGGCGGCGGGGGAGGCCACACGGGGGGGGCGGGGGAGGCGGGACGGGCCGCGGCCTACCGCCGCCCGGCAGCCCCGGGGACGGGCCCGGTCGCGGCCTCCAAGGAAGCGGCCCCGGGCGGGATCTCTGCGTCCCAGCCCTTAACGGGGGTGTTCTCTCCCTTCAGGGTGGCGAATTCCATCCGCAGAGTGTTCATCGCAGAGGTGCCCATCATAGGTACTGCCGTTCGCTCGCCTGTGGCCGCCGGCCCCGCTGCCCCCACCGGTGCCCCCGCGTTTCCCCTCCGTCCCCTCAGCCCTCCTTCGCCCCTTCCCTGTGTTCCCCGGTGCTGTCTCACCGTCGCTGTGGTCCCCGTGGTGTTTTCGGTGCGTTCGCGAGCTGCTTGGCTTTTCCCAAGGGAAAGGTCCTGCACTTGGGCCACAATAACCCCATGCAGCGCTACAGGCTGGGGGAAGTGTGGCTGGAAAGCTGCCTGGAAGAAAGAGACCTGGGGGTTCTAGTTGACAAACGGCTGAATATGAGCCGGCAGTGTGCCCAGGTGGCCAAGAAAGCCAATGGCATTCTGGCTTGTATCAAAAATAGTGTGACCAGCAGAAGTAGGGAGGTGATTGTGCCCCTGTACTCAGCACTGGTGAGGCCACACCTCGAGTATTGTGTCCAGTTTTGGGCACCTCAATACAAGAGAGATATCGAGGTGCTGGAGCGAGTGCAGAGGAGGACAACGAAGCTGGTGAGGGGGCTGGAAAACAAATCGTATGAGGAGCGGCTGAGGGAGTTGGGACTGTTTAGGATGAGGAAGAGGAGGCTGAGGGGAGACCTCATCACTCTGTACAACTACTTGAAAAGACACTGTAGAGAGGTTGGTGCTGGTCTCTTCTCACAGGTAATTAGTGACAGAACGAGAGGGAACGGCTTCAAGCTCCAACAGGGGAGGTTTAGACTGAACATTAGGAAAGAATTTTTCACCGAAAGAGTGATAGGGCATTGGAACAGGCTGCCCAGGGAGGTGGTGGAGTCACTATCCCTGGCTGTGTTTAAGGGCCGTTTAGATGCAGTGCTAAGGGACATGGTGTAGGGGATGACTTTGTAGAGTAGGGTAGATGGTTGGACTTGATGATCCCAAGGGTCTCTTCCAACCTAGACGATTCTATGATTCTCCGTTTCTCGGCTGGTGAGTTTCTCCTCTCGTTGCAGCCATCGACTGGGTCCAGATTGACGCCAACTCCTCCGTGCTACATGACGAGTTCATCGCACACCGGCTGGGTGAGCGCGGGGCGTGGGGAGGAAGGTGAAGATGTGCAGGAAGGCAGAGGCTGTGGAGATGCTGAAGCACCTTTGTCAGGAGGCCACTGCCCCTCCCTCTGTCTTGGCAGGAGGGGCAGAGCTCCCGTGGTCTCACTCAGACATTCTCCCCCGTTTCCTTCTTCCCACAGGTCTCATCCCGCTCACCAGCGATGACATTGTGGATAAGATGCAGTATTCCAGAGTGAGTCAAACAACATGTCGTGGGGGCTGATTTTGATAACGGTGGGTGTCTGATCTGATGGGAAGCGCTCCTAATTTCTTGCTGGGAGAGGTCCGGCATAGAGACCAGCCTGGAGAAGAGAAGGTCTGGTCAGCCTGGAAAAGAGGAGGCTCCGGGGAGAACCTTATAGCGGCCTTTCAATACCTGAAGGGTGCCTATAGAAGAGCTGGGGAGGGACTCTTTGCCAGGAGGTGTAATGATAGGACAAGGGGAAACGGTTTTAAATTGGAAGAAAAAAGATTCAGATTAGATCTCAGGAAGAAATTTTTTACTATGAGGGTGGTGAGACACTGGAACAGGTTGCCCAGGGAAGTTGTGGCTGCCCCATCCCTGGAGGGGTTCAAGGCCAGGCTGGATGGGGCCTTGAGCAACCTGCTCTGGTGGGAGGTGTCCCTGCCCATGGCAGGGGGGTTGGAACACAATGATCTTTAAGGTCCCTTCCAACCCAAACCATTCTATGATTCTATAAAGGTCTTGTCCTGTGTCTGTCCCAGGACTGCACGTGTGACGAGTTCTGCCCGGAGTGCTCTGTGGAGTTCACCCTTGATGTCCGGTGCAATGAAGACCAGACTCGTCACGTCACATCTCGCGATCTCATCTCCAACAACCCCCGGGTCATACCGGTCAGTGCAATCCCTCTGTGGGTCTCCTCTCTACATTCCTGTTCAGAACCCGTGGGATGTGGACAAAACAAAGGCCTTTGAGCACATTTTGTGTTGCCTAAAGCGCCACTTTAAACGTAGTGGGAGAGCAAAGCAGGAATCTCTGCAGAAAAAGCAATGTGTGCCAGTTCCCTCCCCTTCTTCACCTTGTTCTTTCACTTGCTCTCTGGTGGTGTGTCAAAGCAAGGTTAAAGCCTCATCCTGCACCCCTCATCTCAAACTCCTGGGAGGCTTCAGTGTAGCCCCTGTCTCTCCCCACAAACACTTGGGGTGTGCGTGCTTGTGTCATGCTGCGATGTTAACTCCCTTCTCCCTGCTGGCTGCTGGGGCTTGGGTCAGCCTCTTTGAAGGCCTGGCAGCAACCCAGGGACCTCTGGTTTTCTGGTTCTTTTCTGCTCTGTGAGGAGCCCAGGCCAGGGCGCTGCTGCCAGACGGCTCTTGCTCAGTTGCCTTGGGGAGGGTTGGCGGAACCAAAGCAGAGCAGATGCAAAGGCACTTAATGGAGAATGTTTTTAAATGCTATTATGGTCACATCCTGATGTCACCACAACCTGGGGGCTGCTTCTGGTGGCCGGTGACAGTGTCTGCCTGTTTAAAGCCTAGCTGTGGCCTGCTGCCTCTTGCTTGCTGTGAGTGCTGTGTGTCACCTGCCAGCAGTAATGGGGGTGACTCCAGGCTGTGTCACAGAACCACACCGTGGCACTGGGCTGGAGCACCCTCCGTCCCGTGGGGGAGGGCAGCATGGTGGAGTGGAATATCATACACCTAGCCACAGCTGCCTGAATGGTCCCAATTCCTGCTAAATCAGATGTGCTGGATTTGTTGCTGTAAGTCACTCTAGAGTTGCTCTCTGCAGTCTCTTAATTTTTGTAGGCAGCTGCTGTTTGATGTGGGGAAAACTGTTGGTCTTGCTGTTAATTCGCTTGCTTTTGTTCTTCTTCTGCAGGTAACATCTCGGAGCAGAGACAACGACCCCAATGACTACGTGGAGCAGGACGGTAAGTGGCGTTTCACTGGGAATAAGACCTGGAGGAGCAAATTCTTTCAAGCTCTTTGAACTCATTCTTCCTTTACTAGCTGTGCAGCTGTAAAGCTGGCAGTTGGGAGGCACCAGCATCACTGCATCAATGGGGCTAGCATTTTGCCTTAATGCTACTGCCTTAATGCTATCTGTAGAACCTAAAGTATTTTTGTAAGAGGGTGCCTCTCTCTCCTTGTGAGAGTTTAGAGACAGCAAAGATGCAAAATGCTGTGCTGCCCACTGTCATCTGGGGGCCTGAGCAGTCCCTCTGAGTATATATGCAACTCCTTTTTACTTAGCACGACGTTTCCTAGCTACTCTGGGGACACAGATGAGCCCCTTTGGGTCTGAGTGAGCCCTGGCTTCTGGTGACATCTTGGGCACTAAAAATTCCTGCTTTTGCCCTTGTGTGGTCCTGCATGCTCGTTTCCCTTCTGCAGCCTTCTCAAATGGGCACGTGCTTTCCTGCAGACATCCTCATTGTGAAGCTGCGGAAGGGCCAGGAGCTGAGGCTGAGAGCCTACGCCAAGAAGGGCTTTGGCAAGGAGCACGCTAAGTGGAACCCCACGGCAGGCGTAGCTTTCGAGTATGACCCGGACAACGCACTCAGGCACACCGTGTACCCCAAACCAGAGGAGTGGTGAGTCCCAATGTCTGTCTGGAGGGACTTGAAAAGGTTTTCCAGCAGCCAGCTGCATTTTGGGCCCAGGGGTAGTTTGGGTCAATAAGTGATTGTGAGTGTGTCTGTTGCTTCCCCTTGCATGGACTCTGTTCCTGTGTTAGGGGGCCGAGGTCAGACCCTTGGTTGCAGCTGCGTGGAAGGCGGACTGGTTTGTGGCAGCCCCTTGTCCTCTCTTCACATACTGCCACGGCTCTTTCACCTCCCTCCTTTCGTGTTCTTTCCCACCTCTTCTTCCTGTTTTTTCTTCCTTGCATAGGTGGTGAGTAGGTCAGGGTAAGGTCTGAGGAAGGAATAGATCCACGCGAAGGGGGAAGAGGTTGCTGAGAGCAGAAGTTTAGGTTGCAAGGCTGATTTTGCAGGTCTGTTGGTTTGAGAGAGCCCATTGTGTGGCTCGTGTTTCACTTGTACATCTCCTTACACCTGCAGCGGGAGCTCTGGCAGCGGGGTTTTCCACTCTGGCCCTTTCCTCTGCTCTGACATACCATTCTGCACCAGTAGCACGCTGTGTCTCATCTAAAAGTGACATGATTTTGCTTTTGGAAAGCTGCTGCCCTTCTTTGGCCATGGTGAGGACTTTACCTAGCAGCACTTTTCCATGAGTAGCCGCCTGAGCTGCTCTTTGCTCTGCGTCCCACTGACCCCCTAACAGACACCCTGTCGCCGAGTGTGCTGGAGCCAGCAGCAGAGCGAGGAACCCGGTGCTTTAGCCAAGGCAGGTTGGGAGCAGGGACTAGAGGGGACAGTGGTTATGTTGCTGTATCAGCCAGAGCTGTGCCCAAGGTTGGGAAGACCCCAGTACAGGAGCAGGATTTGATGCAGGGACCACAGAAGCCAAGTCTGAGCAAGCGGGAACAGGAGCCTGAGCAGAGCTGCAGCTGGGGAGGGGGCTGAGCAGCAGAAGGGGCTTGGCAGGTTTCCCCCTGCTCTGCCAGATTTGCCTCTGCAGATGGCAGCAAGCAGCAGCAGGCAGGTAGTGGGCTGTTGTACCTCCACACTGTCCTCAAGCCAAGATGCTTGAACTCATCACAGATGATGGCCTTAGCTGTCCCGTGCTCAGTTAGCTGTCAGTAAATGAGCTTCCTGGAGGTGCAGTTAGCCTAGATTGCACACCTCAGCCAGAGACTGCCGGGGGCTTTCTGCTCAGGAGCTGTCACAGAGGTCTGCGCGGGTAGATTTGCACTCGGGAGACTTGAGAAGCCTTTTGTTGCCGAGGGTGGGGATGTAGGTAAATCCATAACATGTATGAAATGGGCTGGGATCTGCCCGCAGCCATCCCAGCCCTGTTTTCCGGATGGAAGGAGTGAACCCCACTTGGCTTTGATGGGCTCTGTAGGGTGCGTTCCTGAGTCTGGTTCAGTCAGTCTGGGTGAGAACACGGTGTGCCAGGCGTTGGGCTCCTTCAGCACTTTGTCAGGGTGGTGCTCTGGGACCTGCAGTGGGAACCAGGCTAGCTGGTAGTGCCAGAAATCTGGAAATGGGCATTTTCCTTAGCGTCGATGATCTGTCTGTGTGGCTGAAGCTGGACTTTGGGAACTGCCAGCTACAGACCAGGCCATACATGGGAAAGTCTGTGAGAGGCCGTTTGTGGTGAGGTGCTGCAGAGCCAAGGAGGATGCTGCTTGGCAGTTTTGTGGCCACGAGCATGTCACAGGAGTTGATTTGCCAGCCTGTTCTTTGTCACTGGCAGTTTTGGGACTCGAACTGGATAGTTCTGAAGTTTCCAAATGATTTGTGGCAAGTTAATTGCCCCAAAGGTGAGTTGATTGGGTGATAGATTGGGTGCTTAAGAAGTAAGAATGTCTCTGTGATGTGGAATTTCAAATTGGGATTTGAAATAATTTTGGGCTTCGTTTTGCTGCTGTAAAAATCCTCTGTTTAATTTCTGTAATGCTAGGTAGTAAATCTTTGGCTCTGGTGAAGTGGCAGACCTGGAATACTGCTTAGAGTTGGAAAGACAGATGCCAGGCAGGATGAGGTAGCACTGGGTTTGCCTTCTTTTGGGTTGGGGAATGTCACAGTGTGAATTTCAGAGAGATTGGGCTTTTGGGGATGTTGGCGTCACAGAGAACAGCCTCAGCTGCGTGGCTGAGCACGTGTACCTTGGCAACAAGGTGCTTCCCTGGCTGGGTGGCCCAAGGCAGCTGCTAATGGGGATTCTTTTGTTCAGTGTCAGAGTTGGCTGTGTCTTCAGGAACTTGGAGTGTTGTACAAGCGGCTGGGTACCAGGAAACAATTTTTGAGAAGTTCTCGGCAAAACGTATGTAAAAGTTGGAAAAATCCCAAAGACAGATTGTCATTGGAGCTGCCTGTTTCCTAATGATACATGTGTCTTTCCAAGTTCATCTGATTCCCTGTGAAGACAATGCAGAGACAAAGGCCTCTGCTGTCCAAGGCTAGCTATTATTTTTGGTTTGGTTTCACATGCTAGTTGCTTTTTGAGGCCGTTGGCACAGCACTGGCATGCAGCTGGTCTCTCAAAGCAGCTGCCCCGGTTTTGGCCATGGGTGGTTTTGCAAGTAACATGAAGACCCAGCTCCATTAACGCCTTTTCCCTCTCACTGGTTTGTTACAGACAGAAGATGTGGTTGAGAAGTGGGGTTTTATTTAAGGCAGCTGATGAGAGGGTGCTAAGATCAGCCTCTCTTGGCATCACCGGCAGGAGACCTTGGTGGGCACAGGATTTTCTGTGCTGGCTTCTCACACGGCTCAAGGCTTCGGATTTTCTTACATGGATTGAGTGCTTCCAAACAGTCTCTCCAGTAAAATGCTCCATAAGCCAAGGGATGCAATGGGTAGAAGGATGTGTTGGCCTTGCTCATGCACAGTAGAGGAGTGGAGGTGCAGGACATCTGGACAGAGCTCACTATTGCTAATGGTGTCTGAAGTGCAGGAGATGTTTTTCCTGCTGGGCACAAGCCATCTGGGCCTTCCCATCTTGACTGCACTGCACAGGCTGAGTGCTGGAGCACCCCAGTGTTTTCCTGGCCCAATGAAAAGTAGAAATTAGCCGAATTGTGCCGGTGTAGGTGGATGGAAACACAGTACCCTGCACTGGGCTGCTGAGTTTGGGCTGATCCTCTTCCTCCGGTGCTGCTGGCTGACTGTGGATTACTGTTAACGAGGAGCTAGAAAGGGCAACGTGGGACTGGGCTTTTTTTCTGTGACAATGTTCAATGACTGCTCCTTTGCCTGCTGGATGGGAGCCCCAGTGCTGGCTCTCTGGGGCCAAGCAGCGCCGCAGAGTGCCTGGGCTCCATGGGGACAGGCTGGAGTGTGGGCTCCGTGCTAACCTTCGTAGAGTCATAGAATGGTTTGGCTTGGAAGGGACCTTAAAGATGATCTAGTTCCAACCCCCACTGCTCTCTGATTCCAGGCCCAAGAGCGAGTACTCGGAGATTGACGAGGAGGACGCGCAGGCTCCCTACGACCCCAACGGGAAGCCAGAGAGGTAAGAAGCTGAACGCGCTGCTGCAGCTATAAATCTGGGGGACCAGATGGGTGCATCTCTTTGGCTTTCATTAACACAAGAGTATCCACTCTGCGCTGAAGTTTGCCAGCCTAGAGAGCTGGTGTTCCCCGAAAAGCAGGGCAGAAGTTGGAGTTAACTGGTGATATGCCCAGGCCTGGCAGGTTTTCCCCTCTGGGAGATAGTAGATGATGCCTCTCCTGACTTGGTGTTACCAAGCAGAGTAGTGCAGCACTCAGTGAGGTGTGAGGCCTGCGGGGGAAATGGCTTAGGATATTTATTCACCCGTGTGGGTCTCTTCATGCTCCGGTTGCTGGTGCCCCCTCTCCGGGTTGTTTGCACTGCAGAAATGCTTACAGCCAGTCTAACTGGTGGTGTGGGGCTGGCTCACAGGTCACAGCACCGAACTGAAAAACATCTCAGAAGCTCTTTTGCAGCCTGTGGAGTCCCGACTGTTGGTGGGAGGGTTGTAGAGGGACGGCACTGGCTGTTCCTGGTTGAGAGGTGAATGATGCCAATGGCTGGGGTTACCCGCAGAGCTCCCTGCAGGGGGTCAGGATGGGCTGGAACCGCTCTACCGCTGCTCTCTGGTTTTGCACCTCCTCGCAGGGCAGGTGCCCTGCCCCCACTTATGTCCCCACTTATGCTCCTGACTTGCAACCTCAGGTTTTATTACAACGTGGAGTCCTGTGGTTCTCTGCGCCCGGAGACCATCGTTCTCTCTGCTCTGTCTGGCCTGAAGAAGAAACTGAGCGACCTCCAGACCCAGCTGAGCCACGAGATTCAGAGCGACGTCCTCACTATAAACTGAGGTGGCCCCTTGCACAAGAGTGCTCCAGTGTGAGTGACACAGAGGGTTCCTGCCTCTCTCTGGCAGTACTCTGGGCCGAGGCTTCTGCCTCCTCAACTCCCTCTGCCTTCCCATGCCCAGCTCTGCTAGCCAGTGACCCCTCTTCCCTGGCCCCGCTTCCCAGGGAAAGCCATCAGGATGTGTAGGTAAAGCAGGAAGGATGAGTGTCTTTGCTGGGACAGGGTTTGTCTCTAAGTGATCCCAGAATTTTAGGCCAGAGTTTTGAATTCTGGCCACATGGCATTTGGGATAAAGAAGTGTGTACCTTGGTTACACAACCCTATATTATTTGTAAGTCACTTCCTTACTGTGCTGAATAAAGCCTTACCCCCCCATGTTCTGCCATCCCTGAAAGCTCGTCTGGGGCTGCAGGAGGAGATGTCACATCATTTCCTTCTCTCCAATAGACATTACCTTAATGAGATCTGCTTTGGAGGGAGCATTGCTCTCTGCTGCTGATTGCTGCTCTTGACATTGCTCTCCTCAGGAGACAGCCTGTCACTGGCTGACCCAGCACTGCGTTTGGAGCTGCTGTTTGAGGCTGGGCTGGTGAGTGAGGTGCTGCAGGGCAGCCCAGATGGGGCTCTTTGGAGAAGAAGACTTAAAGACTATTTTGGAGCAGACCATGTGCTATATCATCTTTATGTAAGGAGCTGGGAGTCTGTTGTTAATGACCCCTGGCTGACAGGTTCCAGTCTGAGGTGGGTTGTGTGCTGGGCTGGAGCTTGGTGCTGGTCCCAAACCATGACCACTGTGGCAGCAGCTGAAGGGCCTGGGTGCCCCCTTCTCCTCACCTCCATTGGCACCCAGCAGGACTTGGGATGAGCTCAGTGACACTTTCCTGGAGAGAGCTGCCTCTTACTTACCATGGTGGTTGAGAGGGAAGGGGAAGGCACGTGTGTGCCACAGCGTGGACATGGGACATCTCGGGGAGTGGGTGCTCATGCTGAGCCGGAGAGAGCAGCCTTCTCCAGCGAAGAGCTGCTGCTGCTTTGGTGTCCTTGCCATGGCACAGCTCCTCCACAGCTGTCCTGGTCCCTGGCGGGAACGCTGGTATGGCTGCCATGCCTCAAGGCAAGCATTCTGCCAGGCTGTCCTCCTGTGGAGAATGGAACTGGCACAATTCTGGAAGAGCTGGGAGATGGAGCGGCTTCAAACTCCATCACCCAGGGATCTGGAGCCACCGGTGCTCTCGGCGTGTCCCCAGAGCCGCGGGGTGACAGTGGGGTGCTGGCGTCCCGTTTCACTTGGGCTTGTTTGATGGAGGGTGGCAACTTGCTCCACCCGTCTCCCCTCCCCAGTGGCTTTAGGGCTTCACTTGAAATGTCCTGTCCGTGGCTGGAGGCAGAACAAAGCTTTGAGCCAAGTGCTGCCGGGAGCCTTTGGAAATCTCCCTCCGTCAGCATTTTTTCTCCCTGGCAGGCGCTACTCCCACTTGCACTTCCCAAGCACGTTGGGATGGAACAGACAAACAGGAAGGGTGGATAAGGGTTGTTTATTCATTGAGCAACTCCTTAAAAAAAAAAAAAAAAAAAAAAAAAAAAAGCGGAAACAAAGCGGAGGCATCCGCGCTACTACCATCACCTCGAAAATACAGTGTGATTTTGGAATTTTAAATTTTTTATTTTTTTTTTAAGGGGAAAAAAAAGCAGAAAAGCCCTGAGGCTGCCTCTATTGTGTTGCGCCGGGGCGGTGGAGCCGCGGGCCCGCCCGGGAGCGGAGCTGCGCGGTGAC